AAAGATATGACTCTTCATCCAAGGAGGATAGACACTCCTTTTTCTTCCTTTTCTTTGTTCCCATCCAGATTTGTTTTCTTTACCATCTTTGTTCTTTTATTTGGGGTGGGTGGGATGCTGTGTTTCTTATTTTTAAATGTTTAAAATTTAAATGTTTAAAATTAAACTACTTTTAGAATTACAGTTAGTGGTGCCAAATATAGAACAATAAGTCTTGTTTGTACAGATTCAAATGGTCTGAAGTTACAGTATGGGATACCTTTGGGTATAGGCATAATGCAAGAATCCTTCTAATTTTAATTTATTCTACTTGAACCATATGGTAGTTTAATGTGGGATGTAGGCATCATGCAAAAAGAGAAGCTCATTTTTTTAAAAAATCAACATGCATGGCCACAGGTTTTGCTTTAAACTCCAATGATCTCGATGATAAAAAAAAAAAACAAAGATCAGCAAAAGATATCCGTATGTATTTTCCAACTAGGGCAATAAATATGTAAGGGAGAAAGTTAGGTGGTTCACCTTGAAGTTAGTGGTCCTAATCCAGATTGGGCCAGTGTACATCTATATAGAATAAACTCAAACTGAAAACATTCTGGAACAATTTATATGTTAAATATTATGTAGTTTGGCCCTCATAATTAGCTGTTAGTAACTAGATATTGACACCTTTGTTCAGTTTACAAAAACTTTTCAATTAATATCCATAATAATGTGTCTGCATTTACTGTAGTTGCCTATTTGGTATCTATACTAAGCAGTTCTTACTCCCACAGTCTTTACCCATCTACCTTCTACTGCTCAACAACAGACTCAGAAATCAGCAGACTTGCAAAGGATCTTAACTCTTTTAAATTGTACTCCAATTCTCCATTTGAGGTCAGCTGTGATTCAGTTAAAGCAGGGTTATCAAACTCGATTTTATCGAGGGCCTCATCAGGGTTGTGTTTGACCTCGGAGGGCTGGAGTGGGCATGGCCAGGGTGGGTGTGACCAGGATGCCACTCATGTCAGGGGCACCTGTGGTGGCCCTGGTGCTCTGCCAGCAAAAATGAGCTCCCAAGCTCCGTTTTCTGCTGTGATGGCCTCCTGCAACCCTCTGCTAGCAAAAATGGAGCTCGGAATGCAAGCCTCCCAAACTCCGTTTTTGCTGGCAGAGGCACTGCAGGCCAGTCCTTCGCTGTTTCTGAGGAGGACCCGCAGGCCAGATTTAAGCACTCCATGGTCAGATCCGGTCCCCAGGCCTCGGGTTTGACACCCCTAAGTTGAAAGCATTTTTCTTTTATTACTCTTTAGTCTTAATAAGCCACTTTTGATGATGGTGAATGTAGAAGTCAAGCCTAGAATAATACAATCCTATTGATATTTATTTGGAAATAAAAATATCCCCAAAAGGAGGTATAATCCTATTCCAGATCTGGCTGCTACAATGCAGATGACCTTAAGATGGCAAAGCCAACAATTCATCTGGAATTCTGGTAGTTTTAAATTACACTCTACCAACTCAACTAGGCCAGTTAAATGTTGAATCAAGGATGTTACAAAAAAAATTAGGCTATTTATCACTCCAAACTTACAGAGAAAAGCCAGGTTATTCAAAGCAACATTAGAATTTACCTACTCCTTTAAAACAGACAAATGAAACAGGTTTTATTGACAAATTTATTGATTAAACCCTTTCATTAAGTTTACATTCTATTTCCAAAGAAAATTATTACCATGCTTTTGAGTTACTATGTATTCTCAAAATTATTTAAAAACAAAATAACAAATTCCAGAATAGGGCACATCGTTTTAATTTGTTTTCTGGTCATTTTTCTATAGTTTGCAGCCAGCGCCCACAAAAGTGGGTGCTTTCATTGGTGCTGGATGAAAACTTGTCAGAATATGTGAGAGAAAACTAGACTACATAAAGTTGCTTTGCAAAATAAAAAAATGAGCCTTGTTTCTTTAAGAGTTTGTTCCTTCTCTTTATAGCCATTGCCAGCTAATTCCACTTCAGCCTTTGAGCTTTGTTTGTTCCCAAGATTCTAGATACCATTGCCCAGAACTGCCTACAGGTCTGGCTGCCCTTTTCAAATCAACAGTTGCTTTCTTGTTTTCCTAAAACCTTGCTGGCACCTTTTCCTGTTGCTAGACCACCCACTCTCTCTTTGTTCTTTTACCATGCTATCACACATAGCAACTCTCCTCCACACCTAGCCAACTCTAGCTGATTTCATAACACTAAGGAGGGGTTAAGCTATAGAGCGCTTGGATGGGAGATCACCAGGAGATCCCAAAGCTATAGACTAAGAGTTGAAAAAACATCCCAAAAGAAGAGAACGGCAAAACAACCTCATTCTATTACCAAGACAACTACATTTGTGTCCACAAAGTCACTAGGGGTTAAGGTCATCTGAGGACATCATTAACTTGTTTTTTTCTCCTTCACCCACTACAGAAACAAATTATACAGGATGCCAAAGGCACATATTCTTTGACAAGGCAGTATTTACAACTCATTAGAAAATTAAGAAATGCTACTTTGTTGGCTATGTTCATTAGCCAGCATGGCATAATGCAAGATCAAAGTTTTTCAATCTAATCATTACACAAGCAAAATATAGCAGTAGATCCATAGCAAAAAGGTATCCCTAGGGATAGGCAGCCTGGCATTCTCTAAATTTCTGAACAACTCCCACCAGACAAGCTGTTTTCTTGTGCAAACTGGCTCGAGCCGATAGGGGTGAAGGCTGAAACATTTATAGAGGAGCAGATCAAAACACATTCCCACAAAAAGTAATGCAAGTTTCATCCCATGTTACTATTTTTATATTACACCCAAAGAGGGTAGGACCTTGGCATCTACTGCAAGGATGACATCAATGAAAAAAAAATTTGTTTCAAAAAAAAAATGCCCAGGCTCCTTTTTCTTGTTACAATGGAAATGCAATTCCTTCAAACTTCTTCATTAGAGGTAGCCGTCACTTACCAGCCACTCATTCAAGCACCCCATTAACTTAGGAGGGTGATGAAAAACAAGACTTACAACTGGTCCATGAAGTTGTGGTCTTAGCAGTGTACCCAAGGTCATATGATTGCAATTCAGGCCCTTTGCAACTCACACACATTTTACGATAGTTAGAGCATCCCACAGTTATGTGGTCACCATTGCCAGTTTCCAACAAGCAAAATCAATGGTGAAACCAGGGGGAAGTTGTGTTACATGATATCGCAGTTAACATCCGTGCCACTTAGTGACAGAATTGTCAGTCCCAATTGCTGTTGGTGAGGTCTTCCAGGTACATGCTCATAAAAGCAATCATAAAGTTATAAATACAAATTGAAACCAAACTTCTCTGGAGTTTTGACATTGATCCTGCCTTGCAAGTACATCAGTGCACATGAATTTATGACACTGTAATTACAGAAATACCTAATATACTCTGTTACCTTGACACTGGGATTTACTACATATTTCAATGCTTTCAATTTTATACTGTATTTCAAAGAGTGAGATTGCATTGCATGCTACAATTAATATATTTGGCAAATTTTTGACTTGGGTACAATACAGCTAATGCTTGGCTCAGTTAACTCAGATTACCAGATTATGCAAACAGAAACAAAGTATGTTAGAATTCAGAAAGTAAATTTACACATTAAAAATAAACATAACACTCTCCCCTATCTTTTAAATGAGCAATTTCGGACATTAATCATTGCCTAACATATTTTAAAGTCCACTATAGAATGTGTGTGTGTATGTGTTTGTATGGTCTTATTATATATGCTGATCCCCCCAAAATGTTGCAACTTTCTGGAACCATTTTTTTAAAAAAAGTCTCAGAAATCTATCCCATGAACACACTTCCTCAAATTGGAATCTTATAGATGCGACTGGAATTGTAACTTCCAGAATTCAGGAACTGCAGTTCCAACTGGGTGGGTACCAGCCCGGGAAAAATGGATCTATAGTTTCTCCATCTTAGTAAAAGGCTTGTTTTTTTTTTTTTTTGGACTGACATTAGGTAAACCCATCATCAAACGCAGGATGTTAAGACACAACAGGCACACTCACCCTTATCAAGTCTAAAAGCACTCTAAGGAAACATTGGTCTCACCACCGGCACGCAGCAGTTTTTACTTTCTGCCAGGTAGCCCCAAAGAAACAGGCTGGACTAAACAGCAAATGAATTATGATTATTTGTAGAAATCCCGAGCTACGTTTGTCTTTCCTTGGTGTGGGGTGGAGGGGAATCAAAGCAACCAAGTGTTCCTGGGCGAGCACGCGGCTACCTCCTAGTTCCACTTTCACCAAAGAAATCCACGAGGAGAACTTCGATCCCTTCCCCACCCCCAACCCCCATCCCAGCCCCGCGGATTTCCGAAACAAAAAGTTGGATGTCCAACAAGGCTCCCTTGCCTCTTGCGGCTTAAATAAAACGAACTTTCATCTCTCCCTCCGCCCTCCTCCCCCGTCGCCTCTTTTCCACAGCGGGATCCAAATCCAAAGGAGGGGAGGGAGGGAGGAGGGTGTTGGTTGTTTTTTTTTTTTATCAAAGCCCGGAGCTTCCCTTCCCCACCGCAACAGCCGGTGCGGTCCCGAATTATTAAAAACAAACAGTACAAAGGGAAAGAAACGCCCGCAGCGTCCTTTACACACACACAAACACACACAGACATAGAGAGAGAGAGAGCTTCCACTCCTGCTCGCCAGAGAGTCACTTTCAGGAACTTTGAGGGCCTCCAACAAGCGAAGCACCTCTCTCTCTCACACTCACTCACTCACACACACACACACACACACACACACACTCCCCCCCCCAAATCTCCACACACACTCGAGACAAAGAGAACAACCCCCACCAGAAGATGGGAAGGACAAGGAGCCGTGCTTCCTCCCCCTTTCCTCTGGGGCCGCTCGCCCAGGTAGCCACGCGCGTCCGTCCGCCCACCCCGCTGCCCTTCCCTCGCGAGACGCAGCCAGGCGGGCGCCCCGAAATTCGCTCCCAGTACCTCTTGCTTGGCGAGCCGGGTGGCCCTGGCGCTACTGGCGGCGGGAGAAGCTCGGGTCGCTTTTCCCAAAACGTTCCTCCGAGACAGCGAGCGGCGGCGGCGGCTCCTCCCAGTTCTCCTCACGGCTCCGGCAGCTGCTTCGGTGCCTTTGAACCGTCTGAATAAAACACTGCGCTTTCCGAGACGCCTAGAGGAAGGACGGGATCACTGCCGCCGTGAGGGGAGACTGTAGCGAGGACGCTAAAGCGCCGCCCTGGCTGGAAGTGGAATTCGGATCCCGGGAAAGGGGGAAGTCGGTGCCTGTTAAGCCAAGGCCATGCGAGACACGCTGTTGCGGTGGAGGGGGCGGGGGTGTTTGCAGGACGTGCGGGTGGCTGGATGGGTGTATGATGTCACCGAGTGGCCTCCTGAGCTGACTGACCCCTTTCCTGGCGTTGGCTACAAGTAAGTGGAGTAGCAAAGGCTGGAAAGCCAAGTGGAGCTTGACTACCGATGACTTTTATCCACGTGATCTTCTCAAATGCAACGTGAAAGTAGTCCCAAAGGTGCATTTTCAAAAGGCAACTGGACTTTTGTTTCTCAAGGAAAAGCAAAGTCCAGTTGCCTTTTGAAAGAGCACCTTTGAGACAGCCATCCTCTGGATGAGTAAGAACCTCCAGAGACAACATGAAAAGTAGTTACCGTTTAAGATTGTATTTGGGTTGCAGTTTAATCCAGTTTAAGCCAGACCTCTTCTCATTTAACTTTTCAAGATTAGGCAGGGTCAGGTAGATGCAGCTGCCTAGTGGGAGTAACAGAGCTGACCTGTCTTTATTAGATGGATGGATAGACAGACAGACAGGCAGACAGACAGACTGACTGACTGACTGAAGGAAAAAGGGAAGGAATTCTTTATTTCCCAAGTGTGATTGGACACACAAGGAATTTGTCTTGGTGCAAATGCTCTCAGTGTACATAAAAGCAAAGATACATTCGTCAAGAGTGAAGAAGGTACAACACTTAATAATAGTCATAGGGTACAATAAGCAATATTGCAGTTATGAATAGTTAGGTTCTTATAACAAACATGGCTATTCTTTGTTTATTGAGGTTGGTATGTTTGTACTACCAAAAAACTTACGACTAGGCTACACAATGGTTGACTCATTTGTGGCTTAATGTGTTATACATATGTAACACATGAACACAATGGCTACTACTTTGGCTTCAACCACAAGAATACAAAAGCACACAGTAGATACAAAACCATACCAAACTTGGTTGCAGGAAATACGACTTCAGCAACAGAGTGGTCAATGTCTGGAATACTCTACCTGACTCTGTGGTTTCTTTCCCAAACCCCAAAAACTTTAACCTTGGACTGTCTATTATTGACCTCACCCCTTTCCTAAGAGGTCTGTAGGGTGCATACATAAGTGCACCAAGGTGCCTTCCGTCCCTGTCCTATTGTTTCTTTTTATTCATATCTATTTTGTGTATTCATAATCATGCTTATACTTATACCTGTTATCTAATACCTGCTTGACAAAATTCATAAATAACCACAATCATAAAGGAATAGGAAGGAATAGAATTGAGCTGGAAGGGACCTTGGAGGTCTTCTAGTCCAACCCCCTACTCAAGCAGGATACCCTATGCCATTTCAGAAAGTGGCTGTCCAATTAGAGAATGCAACTGCATTTCTAAAAAACAATTCATGCTTGCAGTCTTAAAGATAAAACATAATTGCAGACTCACCAAATTTTAAATTAAAAAAACAGAATTCTGATATAAAAAAAACAGAATATGTCAATACACTGCACTGCTGCAAAGAATTATTACAAGAAACAACCCCCCCCCCCACTCCAAAATGCAGTTTGGGGAATAGGGCAAAGTTAGGGATTTCCAGAGAGTAAGGACTGCAGAGATAGTGTGGTGGTTTGCCTCCCAGAAAATTTTGTCGCTTGTATCCTTACGATTTATATTGACTGTTTCCTAGTATGATTTGATTGTTGATTGTACCCTATGACTATCATTAAATGTTGTACGTTATGATTCTTGATTCTTAATGAATGTACCTTTTCTTTATGTATACTGAGAGTATTTACACCAAGACAAATTCCTTGTGCGTCCAATCACACTTGGCCAATAAAGTATTCTATTCTATTGCAACCTCATTAATGATTGAAAGCATGTATTTATCCACCCAATTTTAGTTCATTTTCCTATCTAAATTGCTATAACCATGTGAATAGTGAGGATCTGGCATTTTCTAAGAATCTTACTTCACAATGGTTGGACTTTAAAAGAGTATTTTTATTTATTATATCGGTATCTTGCCCTTTTTTCCCCTCAGAACTTAAAGCTAGGATTAGAGAGACCAAAACATCCTGGGGAATTGGCAGATTTTTCCACTGCTGTTAGAAAGTTGCTGCAATTTTCAACACTGAATTTATGACTTTCTGTTCTACAGACAGACAGTGTGTGCAGAATAGAGGTATTGCTGGCAAAAGTTCCTATAATGCCATTATTTGAATGTTGTCCATCCTCCATGGTGTGGATTTGCTATTTTTTTAACAGTACACGCAGAAACCACCAAATTTGATTAAATGGATGGGAATCCCTGCAAGTTAGGAAGTCATACATGCATAAATGGCAGAATTACACAATTTCTTGTTATTCATCAAACTCATGGTGAAGAAAAAAATTAACTTCTAGGTATAAACTATTAGATTTTACTTTCTGTAAAAAGAAAGCAATACACACACTTGCTTCTGATCTACTTTATTATTTATTATTTTGGTTTTTGCTGAGAGATTAAACTGCTGATGGTATATTCAAATCCAGTTGTTACCATGTCGACTTGACCACTTCATTGCAATGTCGCCTTTTCATTAATAGTGTCCTGCAAAAACAGAGATGATAGACTTGGGTGGAGATACTTCTTTCCTTGCTAGAAGCCTCTCTTTTTAGAAGTGGAAATGAGTCATCATTTTCCCAATGAAGACTCTTCAAAGGGAATTTATTTTCTGTGCATTCTTAAGTAAACAAAGCTTGAGGGCACAAATAGATTGAAGTTATGGTACCAAGCTTCCTTTTTTGTGGCGGGGGGATACATATAGCATCAGCTGATGAAAAGGGGTGTCTGGTCATTTGCAGCAAAGCTGGAATTTAACTGTTCTTCCTCCAGTTTTGCTGCTCCTTCATTGCTTTATCAATTAACAAACTTGATTCTCAGGCTGATAGTATTTGGATGTTTAAAAGTGTACATGTTAAATGCGAAAACACTTTAGCTTCCCTTCTATTATAACCAGTACAAATATGAATGATGCTGTGATATTTTTTCAAAACTAACAAGTGTTTTGAAAACACTTCTAAGCATAAGGGGAGGTAGAATCATGTAGAACAAAACACACCAAGAAAAGTATGTATGAATGCACTCTGCAGGCACCTTATTGAGAATATTACAAGATGCAGTGACTTCCTGATAAAAGTGAACTTTAAAATAACAGTAAAAGAAATTAGGATGATGGATACATGAAAATGTCCCAAGAAGCAATTCCAGATGTAAAAAATACAACAGTGAAATCAGCAGAGTTATTTTCGAGGGAAAGAAAGGATTTGGGTAGAACTAAACAAATGAAACTAACCAAGGAAGCATATAAACACAAAGAAATATGAATAGGCAAGGCCATCAGAGCTTTGAAAGAGAGGAAAAGTCACTGAGCAGAATCCAAGAACGTGAAGAAACCTAATAAAGAAATGAAGGAGAGGGATCACATTCAAACAAGGGAAGTAGATCAAGAAAGACATTTTCTTGGCAGGAAAGTCTGCATTATAGAAAGGTTATTTTAAAGGTAACATTCTTGCATTTGTCACATGAGGGAATTTGTGCCTCATGTACCATAATGCTGCTCTGCTTTGGATACATTAATATATGTGCAGACAGGAGAGAGGATTTCCTACTTGGTTAGCAAAACTTCTTCATCGCACCTAGCAAGAGAAGTAAATCATTCTGGAAGGATGAAGGAATGTTGGATGGAAAAACATAGATGTAGATAGGACAGCGGAAGAACTATAGTAGCTGAGACGCATTGTTAATGGAAGAATGGAAAAAAGTTTTGCAGAAGAGCCAGAAAAGAAAAGCCACAGTTGGCAGAAGACAAACAATATAGTGCAGTAGTTCTCAACCTTTTCTTCAACACTTGTGGCTATGGATTGTGGCTATGGATCACCAGGGCTTACCTCAAGGTTTAAATCATGAACTTTCTTCACGCCTTCCCAGACCCCCTGGGGCAACATCATGCCTCCCTTCAGAAGTTTATGGACCACAGGTTGAGAAGCACTGATATATAGTAGTTTGAATATAGCAATGAAGGGTAAAGAAATGCTCAAAGGGGAAAGCAAGACTGTGTACCAGCAGGTTCTGACCAGTTCTGGAGAACCGATAGCGGAAAATTTGAGTAGTTCGGAGAACCATCATATACCACCTCTGACTGACCTCCGCCCCCATCTATTCTCTGCCTCCTGAGTCCCAGCTGATCAGCTGCGTCTTCTTCTGTTCCCCTGTACAGGAGAATGGACCTGAAAAGCAGGTTAGCGGGGTGGGGAGGGAATGGGGATTTTGCAGGATCCTTCCCCTGCCACGCCCACCAAGCCATGCCCTGTCACGCCCACCAAGCCACACCCACAGAACTGGTAGTAAAAAATTTTGAATCCCACCACTGCTGTATACCCGATCAAGAGTGCAGATGGCAACATGGCGGATACTGAGATCAAGTGACGAAATGAGACCTAAAAGACAGGATAAGAAATTTTGTGGTAGAGCTAATGAGAGGGGAAAAATACCAGGCTTGCCACGGGAAACAGAATAAAAGATTCCCTGTAAATAACAGCTAGATGTTCTCAATGTAGAAATTGTCTAAAAGGACATCAGAAGGATGACGGCACCTGCAGGGAGATATAAGCTTTACAAAATCAACAGATGGAGGGAAAACAGTGTGAATGGTTATTTTGTGTTAATGAATTCTAATGTATGATATTTAAATATCTAAGAGATTAGACCTAGGTGCCTGCATTTCACATTTCCTTTTATGGCCAGGAATAAACGAGAAAATTGGGGAGGCTGAAACTAATTGTTCTATTTCCATTTAGTGCTCTGCTCCTAAATTGCTGGCAGAGCATTTTGAGGAGAATATGTCCAAACTCATATGCTGATGAGGAAGGCTTTTGCTCTCCACTAGAG